TGCAAATACATTTTCCCATTCTGAAGGTTGTCTGTTTGATTTAATTGTTGTATCTTTAGCTGTACAGAAGCTTTTTAGCTCAGCTAAGTCTCATTCATTTATTTTTGTTGTTGTTATGATGATCAGTGGGGTCTTCTTCATATCACCAGGCCAATATCATCAAGGGTTTTTCCCACACTTTCTTATATGAAGGATTTTTGTCTTCAGTAAGCTCACAAACTGGAGATGTGCATATCACACTGTAACATGGTGGGTGCTGTTACTAGCCTATGAACAGAGTGCTGTGTGTGCAAAGAGGGAGTTTGAACCAATCTTGAAGGGTGCTTGACAGGTGGAGAATGAGGAAGACCTCCAAGGCCAGGAAAAAGAATGTGTGGAAGTCCCGGGAGATGAAAAGAACAGGCTTGGTCTGAGAAGAGTGAGCATCAGACTGGGCGGAAGCACAAGAACGTGGGGAGAAGGGCAAAGAGGGAGAAATAAGGCTGGAAAGGAGAGCAGGGCCCCCTGCTCCAAAGAGGACTTTTCCTGCTTTGATTTGGGCCTTGGCTTCTTCTCCCCAGCTTGACTCAGGGGTCATCTTATCCACCTGCCTTGGCAGTGCTTCTGCCCTCTAGGGTGGTTCCCAGCAGAATGGATTTGGGACCCCTTGACATATTGATCTCTAGATCCGTCATCCTGAAAGTCCGTGGGGTGGGCAAAACCACCATTCAGAATTCAGACTGATGGGGAGCTTTGGAGCAGAGGCCTCCCAGCATCAGGCACCTGCATCACTTTTTGCTTACATGCGATCCTCTCTCTGAGGAAATAAAGACCAAGCCCTGAAAATATCTGTGTCTTTTTGGTCTATAATGCTTTCCCCAACCTTAATGAAGCTAATGAACATATATTAGCTATAGAGGCTGTCAGACATGGTATGTCCCCATCAACAAAGAAACATCTCTGCTTGGCTAGGACACAGAAAGGGGGGCAGGAATGGGAAGAAGACAGTGAAGTAGAGAGAGGCAGTGAAACTTCCCGTGCTGGGCAAAGAAAGACCCAGACTGGACCAGGCAGGCAAATTGCCACATCTGGGTCCCTGAGACTGAGAGGCTCCACTGAATCAGATACCAAGGAATAGCCTTCCCCCCAAATCAGGCACGAAGGTGAACAGAGGCCAGGGGAGCCATACAAGGCTATGACTCAGTGTTCAGAGGCGGGAACTTCAAAAGGGGCTTGACCCAGTGAGCAGAGGCAGGTGGAAAGTCATGTGGGTGGCTCCGAGGAGGAGGAGCCAGATTCCAGATCCTCCTAAAATTGTCTTCCTGAAACACAGATCTGATCCGATTTCTCTGCTCAAAAGTCCTTAGTGGCTCTTAATTGCAGATATAATTATATCTAAGTACCTCAGCACAGAACTCAGATTTCTCCACAGTTTCACTCCTGTCAGGGTTTCTGGACCAAAACAGCTGCTTGTGATTTTCTGTCATCTTTTCTCCTTGCCTCCTGTTCACACCGCTCCTGTCGCCTAGAGTACTTGTCCTCTCTCCCTCTCTGCCAGATTCCCAGAGACTCTGCTCTGTTCTTGAAATTCGTAGCAGTCTCTTTAGCACAGGCGTCGGTCGGTGGCTTTGTCCCTTCTGACCAGGAGCATATTGATACTTATTCAGGCACATCTCGCACATTTTGTATTCAAAACATCACCCAGACTAGCACCTTGCGTGCTATGAGTCCTCAATCTGCACTCGTTGGAAGTCGGCAGAATGGTTTTCAAGCTCACCCAGGGCTGAAACCGAGGAGGAGCATGCAGGCCCTTCTGGGAGAATGTTTAAAGGGCCATGTGTGCTGAAGGGGCAGCCAGACCCTAGCACAAGGCCGGCAAGGCCTTCCCATTGGTCCCCATGTGGAGTGGCTGTGCAAGTCCTCATCAGCAGTTCCATTAGGGAAACGCAGTCATACGTGGACATAAACTTTATGTATTTTGGTCCAGGAAATATGCCTACCTCAGGAGCAGCTCTGTCCTTGGGCCTGTGTCTGGGTAGCATGGGGATGTGGCTAAGAACCACAATTAAAGGCTGAACCAGGGTCTACAGGTTTATAGCTCCACCTGTTAATGTCTGTGGTGGGACCCAGCACAGGAGGGGACCACCCAAATCACTTCCTGGCCTGCAAAGGGGATCATGGTGCCCTACACTGGGGGAGGGGGGTGAGGGCGGGGAGAGTTGGCACGGGGCACTTTGGAAGAATCCAAGAGACGTGAGTCATCTCAAAGTCCTTCAGCCTTCCATGCCATAGGGCAGATCTTCGAGAATCTTTGAATCCAGCTGATCTGGCCGTCTTAGAACTAGCCTGACACTCCTGTGGACCTGGAATGAACAGGATTGCATGAATTGCTTATTCTGGCCCAGAGGCCGCTGCCTGACTACTCTGTTATAGACAGAGAATCACATCCCTTGAGAAAGGCTGAGGTAGGTTTCTGTTAGGAAAACTGGAAATGAGAGAGAAAAAAATCAAACAACAACAAAATAAGGTTGTAGGCACAGAGAAGCATTATAGAAAAGAGAAGTGCTGAGCAATTCCTCGCAGGAGCTACACATTTTTTTGAATGAATTAGATGAATGATTGAATTCTTGAAACTGAATAAAAGAGAAGAGAAAGAGACAAAGGAAATAGGAAAGGGAAAATGGAAAGAAATAGCTATACTATGACAAAAACAAGTAGGACTAGAGGGAAGAAGTCAATGGCAAAATTTAAGAGATGGGAGGAACAAACAACTCTGCAGACTTTTTCCTTGGGTCGGCCGCATTGTGGCCAGAGCTGTAGACTCGCGTCCCAGTTCCAAGTGCACAGTAAAGAGATCATTCACAAGGCCCTAGATCAGATGGAGCCAACCAGCCACTCTGTGACGGGCTCTGATTGAATCACTGTGGTCCAGGTGGGCTGACTGGGGACAAGTGACACCAATCATCCAGGTCTGGATTGTAAATTCTACCTGGCAACGGTGTGTTAGGGGAACCTGCTGCTCACAGGTGAGGCTGCGTCACATGCTTGTCAGTGGAGCTGGGGTGGAGCCACTTCTAATGCATTAGAGTGAGAGTGGGAAAGACGTGCTCTGAGACCAGAGTGGACTGCGGGTCCCGAGCTGCCAAAACTCCGAAGTGCTCACTACAGCAGCCTTTTCTATCTTCTTTGTCTGGGTAAATACTTCTGTTCTTTGAGAACACATCTGGGCACTACTGCCTCTAGGAAACCTCCCCTGACCTGTCTTCCAGGCAGATTAGATGCCCCAGAACATCATCTGTGTTCTCAGAACTCTCTCTTCCAGAATGGGAGCTCTTCCAGGTAAGGGCTTTGTCTTTTTTCTCTGTATCCCTAGTACTGAGTACAGGGTGTGGCATAATAATTAATGTTTGTTAAATGACTGAGAGAGAATACCCATAGGTCCATATGCTTGTGGGAGTGTGTCCAAAGGGACTGTGTCCTCTTCCCCCTCCCCCCAGAGGGGACACACCTCATTGGGATGGCTGCACTCAGGAACGGTGGAGCTTTGGCTGCAGTGGGAGTCAGTACTCCTGAGGCTGGAGCTAGACGTGGAGCTGTGTGCTCTCCATACAGACTGAGAGTAAGGGGGGCTGCATCTCCCCAGGAGAAAGAAGATGGTCTGGCCACTCAGAAGTGAGTGATCAGGCTTGGCG